CTTAGTAAAAAAATTATCTCAAAAAGGGGGATAAGTTAGCAAATTGGATAGAAGAGTGGCTGGATGGAAGAAAGCAAAGAGTTGTTGCAAATGGAGTTCAGTAAAACTGCATTAATGTCACAAGTGGGGTATCTCAGAGCTCAGTCTTAGGACCTTTTCTATTTTTGACATACATGAAGGAAAGGTCAATAAATCACTTAAAGTTGCTGATTATACACAATGTCTACAAGGTTCTGTTCAGGTTTCAAAAGTTTATTACAACAAAACCAAAAGAGCTAGAATTATGCAGTTTTTAGCCCCCTGTTGCCTAACTAACGAAGCTTTTTCTTGATTTATAGAATGTAATCGGAGTGTCCAGTTGGTAATGATTGAAGTTTGAACGAAGATGACAATTACACAGGAGAAAGCTCAATGTGTCATCTGGTTTGCAGAGTCTATATCAGTAACAACTGTTCAATGGAATTACTGCCATCAATATGGCAAGAATCCTCTCTCTAAACCCAGCATTAGAAGGTGGTTTCACAAGATTTGGGAGACAGGAAGTGTGATTGACCTGCCTCGAAGTGGACATCCAGGTGTTTCTGAAGAAACCATTGCTAATGCCCAGGAGATGTTCCAATGCAGCTCAAGAAAGTCTATTTGTCACGATTCTAGTGAACTCCAGCTACCAAGATCAATGTTACACAAAGTTCTACACAAGAAATTGCATCCTTGTATGTATAAAGTACAAATAGTCCAAGCTTTACAACCAAATGATAAGCCTCGGTGATATGAATTTGCATGTTCCATGCTGAGCATGATTGTTGAAGACAATGAGTACCTAAAAAAAGGTCCTGTTCTCTGATGAAGCCATCTTTCACATGTCTGGACAATTTAACTGCCATAATGTACAAATATGGGGGGTCTGAAAACCTACAAATTTGTGAAGACATTTGCAATAGCCCAAAACTTAATGTTTGGTGTGGGCTCATGTACAGTAGGGTGATAAGCACATTTTCTTTGCACAGCGGAATGTTACAGAAGGTGTGCATCTTGACATATTGGACAATTATGTGATCCCCCACTTGGAAGAGTTGTAACCATTCGTTATTTTCAGCAAGATGGTGCACTTCCACATTGGTGTTTGATCGTACACAACTTCCTTGATGAGAACTTCCCTGACAGATGGATTGGACATAATGGGCCAGTTCTCTGGCCCTCACAGTCTCCCAATATTATGCCCTTAGACTTCTGCTTTGGGAGTATGTCAAGGATTATGTTTTTCAGACCTCAGTTCCTGACATTGAAACTTTTTGTACAAGGATAACTGATGGCATCAGAAGAGTGACAAAGGATATGTTGGCCAACACGTGGACTGAAACGAAATATTGGTTGCATATGCTACAGGTCACTAACGGTGCACATGTTGAGGTGTACTGAAAAGCATATAAAACTATTTCTTAAGTAATATTATCCAAAAACTGCATTGTTATCTTTTTTGGTTTTGTTCTAATAAACATTTAAAATCGGAACAGGACTGTGGACACCCTGTATATAGGTATTTATTGTTGCTATCTGTGAAGAAGATGCTGTTGCTTTACATGAGTATTTAAATCATTTAGCGAGTTGGGCGAATAAATGGCAGATGGGTTTTTATTATAATAAATGCAAGATGGGGGTTATTATAATTTGAATTATAAGTATAATTTGGATGGGAATATAATGAGAATGACAGCTTGAAGTTATATGGAATAGGTTTGTTCATATACATAATACAGCCAGATGTAAAGTATAGAACTGATTTTAAGTGTAACTAAAAAGTAAAATATAGGCCTAAAAGTAAAATTAAAAAGCTTCTAACTTCTGTTATCGCCCATAGGGCTGTAGTTATTCCACTTATTTTTCTCTTAAAAGACACACGTGCATTATTAAACCTTACCTTTGAAAGGACTGAGGTTTGATAAGTCATATTTGTGTGTGGTTCCATATGTTTAACTGACTTATGAAATGGTTGTATTTAGGGGTAGAATGAATCAAAATAATTTGCTTTGTTTACTTGTCAAAATGGTCAGCCTCGTTCTCAAAACGACCTTTACACACCATATAAGGAAAACCGTGTCCTGGCGTATTTTGCCTTTATTGCTGGATTATTATTTCTGTAATTTGAATGGATAGTCTCCTTTTAATCAAGCAGAGGGGGATATTACTTTAATGATAAATGAAACCTTTTATATTAAAAAGAGATCTTTAAGATTTAATTATTATCATTATTATTCTACGGAGAAACTTAAATATGCCCTTGTGGTGTATTCAGGTAAAACTGAGTTACCATTTGAAAATTGGGATAGGTCCCTTTAATAACACAGGTCTGCGAATTTAAACTTCATAAAAGTTGGTTTGGTTTTAATAGCACCCCAGTGGCACAGCGGCATGGCTGCGGACTTACAACACTAGAATCTGGGTTTCGATACCCGTGGTTGGCTGAGCACAGCTAGCCAATTGTGTAGCTTTGTACAAACAAACAATGGTTTTAATAACGGATTTGCCACAATTTAGCTACGCAGATTTCGAAAATAATAATAATATTTTTTTATCAGGTAAGGATTTTTTTACAAATCTGGAAGAAAACTTACTTAGATCAAATTATTATTTCGTTTACCACAATAAACATTTTATAATATTATGTTTGATAGCAAAAAAAAAAAAAAAAAAAATTCAAACAAGTTGAAGAAAAGGGAAGAACACTGATGTCGAACAAATAAACATTCTCATTCATCCTGATTTTGTGTGTTTGTGTGTGTGAAATCTACGTCTTTTGGTCTCAAAACTACGTGTTGTGGTCTTTCTTTTATGTATTGCGTTTGGAGCATCTCGTTTCAATGACCAGCAGTAAATAGCCATCATGCTGATGTTCCACCTTCCCTAATACCTCCCCTCCATTTCCCCGATGCCTTGATGAAACCTTTCCAGACGTTTCATGTTGAAAACAATCCCTATCATCATTTCTATTAGCATCAGATTCAGAATCAGATGAAACTATATCAAGAGACTCCAGTGGAGTAGATACAGTTACATCAGGCCCATGACCAACAGGTCTTATAGCAGATTGATGATACGGATAACAGATTCCTTTTTATTTCGAGTGTTGTAGCCTTGCACGTTACATGAGCAAAAATAGCAGTCATCTTCGTGGTTTATAGGCTCACGCCAAACCATTGGAATTCCAAAAGGGAAAGACTTTTTCTTACCTTTAGTCCATTGTCTCAACTCTTCGACACAAACAGTGCAAACTTTGTGCGAGCCCATGATTTGTATTGGTCCCCATGTTTTATTCCAAAATACGCGAATACGTTTTTTTTTTTACGAATTCTGTAATGTTTTGCCTTTGTTTCTTTACCACAAATATAACAGAATATGTTCAGATCATAATGTTTTGTTGCACGCACAAACAAATACTATCCAGAAATGACACGTTATGCGGCATGTTAACCGTAAATATACTAATGGTGTGTTTCTCGTGGGTTCTAGAACGATCGATAAGACTCTCACGTCCCGATTTCAATTAAAATGATTCACTTAATTAAGATTACATAATACATTCTATGAGAAATCTGTATGTGATGGAGAAAAATGGATATTATTTTTGGATTCAGCATACAGGAATTATTGTAGAACATGTAAAAATTTCAAGACAATAAAGCCATCGGCCAAGATAGTGGTTACGTAGTGACGCTAAATATCTGAATAACTGGGTTCTAGTAATAAAAGATTTGCATAGGCGAAAAAATTACAGTATGTAGAATAAAAGATAATAATGGTGACAAGCTCGCCAAATTAAAATAACTTTATTGTACGAAAACAACATTTCGGATAACGACTTTTTAATGGGTTTACAGTGAGAATCAAACCGTTAATAGAAAAGTTAGGGTAAAAGAAAAAACAACAAATAAGACTCAAGAACAAATTCTTATGATACTAAGATAAAAATAATAAATTATTCAGTAAGATGTAAAAAATATATAGTAAATAAACTAAATGAAGAAAAAGTAGAACATGAATAAAGACAACAATGTAAAGAAATGAAATCAATGAGAGAATGAACAC